CAATCCAACAAAGAAGGATTATTGCTAGTCATGTGAAACAAAACAAAAAAATAGAAAATAAAAAATTTCATCAGCTGCGGGATTTCAAGATACTCTCTCAGGGAGAAGAAAAAAATCATTAAAAAAAGGATGAATAATTAGAAGTGGCCGGTGAACGGCAAGCGACCGGGGGGGATACGGAACTATGGAGGCGGAAGATGGGCGGTCTTGAGCACCCTGCATCGATCACAAAGGCTTGTGCCAATCGTAGGCCGAGGAAGCCTGACACCGTTGCTTGCGTCCAGCCCAAAGGCTCCACTGACCCGACACTAAAAGGCAGCTAAGGTGGTGAGCATGCCATACGGAGTACACATGGTCTCCTGGAGGAGTGGCCGGTTGATTTTTCAAGCGATGAAGCGGCGCAGCAGTTGTGTACTGAAAAGGGGAGAGCTTTTTTTCTTTTTTTTTTTCTTGATGACGACGACCTTCCCACTAGCCCTGTTCTGGAAGGGCATTTTCCGATGTTCCAAACCTACCAAACAACGGTACGCTTTACGAACGAGAGTGCTTACTATCGACGACAGCTGAGGGAGCTCCCCATTGCCCACAAGCGTAACGGCAACAAGCGCACCCCCTCTCATACTAGGTACCTACGTAGCATCTGTTCAGGGCTTAGAATAGACTGCAGAATAAGTGCGCAGAGCAAAGTGCAGGATATCAAAAGTAAAAAGTATAACGTCCACAGTAAGTCCGACCATGCATACATACATGCACATATCTGTCGACTGATTAACCTTGTGATTGAGGTATCATTTCCCCTGATACTACTTTTGACATACTATGGGTATCAACAGCGGCATGCACGCACGTCCGGATACCTACAGGCCATGATGGAGACCCCAGCAATTCCAAGATGATGGAGATCTTACGCGCACCCGCTGCTAGATTTAGTTTTAATTTTCACATGGGTACGATGCACGAGACCAATCCCATGCTTGTCTATGTTTTGGAAAATGGATGGGGGAGCTTATCTTAGCTCAGAAAAAAATGCCTCTGTTGCAATGTGGCCGAGGCTGCCTTATTACTTCTTTTATTACTTTGGGCTTCATGTCTCATTTGGAAGGTAAATTTGAAAGAAGAGAGGAGAGGGAAAAAAAAAAAAAAAAAAAAAAAAGAGGCAGGGCCTCGAAGTGTCGCTCTCCAAAAATGCCAAGACTCACTAAGCCGGGTGGGCGCACAGGCTGATTGCACGGAAGTACATGTGGGGGGGGGGGGAAGACATGAAATCCTGACGCTTCAGAGGCTGGTTGTTCAAGGGAATCTGGAGATTCAAGCGAGCCCCGACGGACAACTCAAATTAAGTAGATAGCGTTGTGGCTACGGCTCCGAGGATGTCTCTGGGGCACCAGGAAACCCCAACCAAACGATTACAAGGTGACTCGATCGCTAATTGCACGGGGTAAGTCATCGCAATTTCTTTCTTTATTCATATCCATATCGATATTTTCCCTCTCTCCTTTCTTTTGGACCTTCTACATGATTTTTCTGACTTCATTTCTTTTTTTAATTAATCTTGGGTTGGGTTTGAAATGCACGGTGCAAAGATTGGTTGCCGATACGCAACAGAAACAGAAGAGGGTAATGATCGATCAGCCGCTTGCCCCTTTACGGCTTAGGGTTACACAAGTATTTCTCAGGCTCAGCAGTAAGTGACATCCTCATCTAGGTAAGTGAGGGAGAATCATCCGGCCGAACACCGTTAGGCTGTTTCGAGTTTATTTGGACGGGACCGAAGAGGGAGGGACGGGGAATGAATTAGGAAGTTACAATTTGTAGTTCTGGATTATTGACATAGTCTCGTGTTGCTTTTCTTCTCCTCGGAACTCTAACATTGTAGCATCATCATTAGGTAGCTGCTCGGTGTGCCCCTCACAAGTGGGTTCTAATTGATGGATGGCTCGGGAGGGGTGGATTGGAATGGCGTGTGGCGTTTGGAAAAGTGGGAACAAGGCTGACGGGAGCAAGTCAGATCGGTTGTTTCCATACCGACGTGTAACCAGATCGAGTCGCGCGTATTATTGCGTTAAGTTTGCTATTACCAACTCCGGGCTTAGGACAAGAAAAAGAACATTGATTTACCCAGAAAGAAAAAGAGGGAAAAAGGCAAAATGAACAGGCAACGAGAAAAGAAAAATTGTAAGTCGGGCCATACTTGCTGCGCAGCAGCCCAGAATGAGTATTTTTATCATCATCATCTTAATTCCCAACACCACCATGGTCTCGTGGTCACAATATATGGGCGGTTTGCAATGTTTGATACGCCTCTGGATGTATGTATGTACATACAATGCAAGCATACTCCTATCTCATACCAATCTACCTAGTACTAAGTAGACGATCCCACTGATACTGAATTACTGGTTCCATATGCACTAAGTGGAGGTAGGGCCCAGCACGAAGCTATCAATTTTAGATTGGTTTGTTAGTGGAAGGGAGATCATGGATTGATGGCTGATGCTCCTGATCCGTCTCAAGTCACGATGCCGATGATCCTCGTTCTCGGATGGCTGGTGGGTATCCTGGACTTGCTCGTGTGAGTGAAACAAGCTGACCTGTGTGGTGGTACCTGAATTCGGCCTCGACGAGATCCCAAACCTGGAACACGACGTTAGCTTCCTTAACTTCCACTAAACTTTTTCCTGTTTTGAAGAAGGGGCACTATGATTGAAAGGCTTAAGAGAATAACCCACATAGCCGCCGACTTCCCCCCGATGAACTAAACCAAACTAAACTAAATTGACTACTGTACTGTGCCTATTCCTCCCGGCGCCAATCTTCATTATTCCAGACCATCCAAGCCAAAGTTTCCAAACCTAAAGAGGTTGGAGTGGGTTATGCGACTTTCTAGATACCAATGGGGAATTTTAGATTTGGGATTTTTGGTTGCAGTCATGTCCGTTCTTTCTAATTCATTTTTCCCCCTCTTCTTTTTCCGCTCACTACCATCATCATCATTATTATTATTATTTATATTATTATTTATTTTTTCCCTCCCAGACAACAATGACACTAAGTGCTCACTAACCTCCATCATAGTCCCAGAAAGGAAAAGAGAGAAAAGAAAGGTAACATTGATTGCGACAGGGCTAAAGCAAAAATAGAAAGCAAGCGATCAATGATCGTGCCCAACCCGATCTGTCACAGCCATACAGGCACACACTTAATCCGCCTGGGGACACACACCCATGCCCACACACAACCGCTCTCCCTCACCATTCCCGCTCTGGTTTGATGGTGTGGGCAATGTTAACAGAACTTTCCCTAGCTGCATGTGTCTGACAGAGCCTTTTCTTTTTTCCCTTTTCTTTTATTCCATATTTTCTTTTCTCTACCCTTCTGTTTTCTTACTTGAGAATTCTACCTCTATAGAATAATAATATTATTATTAATGATGATAACAACAACAACAATAATAATATCAATAATCGTAGTCATGGTTCGAGATTATAATAATTTACTCCGTACTAGTGCCCTCATTTTAATTATTATTCTTATTGTTATTAGGAGTACTTGTGATGGAAATTGTACATGGCTATCAGCAGTATTCATACTGCCTCTGCAACACCTACATACATAAAAGTACTAACTAATTCTACCGTTACCTTATTAAAGACAATTGTCGAGTGACAGTCTAGACATGTAGTATTACTCCCCTCTCCTTCTCTTTTGGTTTTTTTTTTTTCTTCTTTTTTCTTTATCACCTCTTTCCCTCCACCTCCCTCTCTCTTACTTGCTCCCTTCCGATACCTCTGGTTCCTTTGGAGGGTACAAGAAGTTAAGAGCCGACTATTGGCACGCGGTGTTTTCCATTATCATAAATTGTCGTCACATCACTCGGCGGGTCAATCCGACTCTTTGTCTTTGTCTTTGTCTCTTCTTATTTGGAACTTGTTTTCGTTGGTTTATAAATTACTAAATCATTTTTTATTTTTTATTTTCTTCTCTTATCCTTTTTTTTACGAAGTTCAAGATAAAAAAAGTACTCTTATATTTAACCTTTTTTTACGATCTGTTCCCCTCGACTTCTCTTGGTTTTCTTTTTCTTTTTTTTCATTATTCACAAGCAATCCGGAAGCAAATCAGACAATACACCGAGACCAGGACTCGACGTGGACGCTCAACGGTCATCTTCTGCACACTATTCTTTTTGCGTTTGAAAGAAAGTCCTTGCTCTGCCCGTACAAGGTTCGTCCGGCTTCTGGGTCCTTTCATTCTTCGTTTCCACGCACCGTCGCTGCATGCTGCAAATCATTCTTCCCAGACATCTAATCTATATCATCTCTCGGCCCCAGTTCCAAGCTCCAGGCTTAATCTGGGCTTCATTCCACTTCCCAAGGTTGTCACATTCACATCGCATCGTTCTCCTGTATCCTGCATCCACCCCGGTCCATATTACACCACCGTCCCGCTAGTTACAAACTCCCTCCTGATATCCCCACCACTCACTCGCTCCTTTGTCCTCTCTTGTTTTTTTTCTTGGTTTCCTTTTCCTTTTTCTTTTTTTTAATTATTTCCTTAATATTTTCCCCTCTCACCCCCGGTCCTCCCATTCCATATTAGGGATAGTTTCCTTTCTCTGCCCTGACGCCTGTCTACCTGAAGGATGTGCCTCCGGTGCAGCTAAATAACAACCCTGGAACCCTCCACATTACACTGGCTCTTACAGCACACCCTTAATCTTTCATCAAGAGATCCCTTGCCTCAAAGTCTAGAGCCATAGCCCAACGAGGTACCACCCTGCTGTCAGCCGCTCGTTGGTTTTTGGCCCGTGCAATTCTGTCACAACAGCCGTGGCCACTTCGAAAACGTTGTCGTCTCCCAAACCATCTCTTTCCATTTTTTCCTTTCTGCAAAGAGAACTCTAATAGAACATTACCTAAATTGCCTTTGGTCACAGTGTACCGGTCGAATCCATCGATCATAACAGGACAGTTCGTTTGCAGACCACTTAAAGGTCAGTCATGACCGGCATGGTTCAGACTGACCTAGCCCATCCATCGACGTCCAAATACAAAGACGAGCCTGCTGACGACCATGTAAGTGCCGCTGTTTTGTTTTTGTTTCTAGTTTCTTTCTTTCTCTCTTTCTTTTTTTTTTTTTCTAGAATCGCGTTGGATCTGTTTCAAAGTCACCTTTCAATAGCACCATTTCCATTCAAGGACAACCCAGCTATTGCATGAGGTTTACCAAGAGAGACTCGGCGATAAGCTAGAGATCCTGGACTCTTGGGCCTGTACTCAAGAACCGTCGTCAGTTCTACCACCTATCTTCCCTGTCACGATCACTCAGAGAGCTCCATCCATGGGTATGCTTGCCTTTAAGCTGAGGCAGAACCATGGGCCACCTCCTTTGCTATTTTGTTTCAATTGGTATCTTGACTACGTCCGGAGTTGAATTCACCCCTGAAGCCGAATGTGGATGCCTTCACAAACCACAAGCCCCGGCATGAACCACTTTCTGTATCACCGAGCTATGAGGAACCTGAATACGTTCTGCTGTTATACCTGACCCCAGGCATTGAGATACTGCGTTGTTCGGCCTCGCCAAGACCATTTGTTGGTAACCCTTCCATCAATGTGGCATACGCGTTCATTAAACGTGTTTGGCATCAAGTTTGTGCTGAGCTGCTCCGTGAACTCTTGGAGGACTCTATGGAGAGTACAGGAAAACATGAAAGGGAATTTGGTGTCTCCTTTCCTATAGAATTCAGCGGTGATGTCGAGTGAAATGTTTCACCGATCTACTCCTATCTTTGAGGCATAGATCCACCATTGGAACCAAGCTATCTGCAACATCTTGCAATGCTATGGACTTAGCTCTGTGGAGCTCCCCTACATCCAGGCCTTCAACGATCATTGCCAACACAAAATGAGTCCACCCAGTCAATCAGAGCGTGCAATCTCATACCATAATCTGTTGCCCTTCTCTGCTTACCCATGGAGACTTTGTTCCAATAGTGTTTCCTAGAATATCAGGCTATAAAAAAAGCTAACTAGATTTGTGTCTAGTTTCGACACTCAGGGCATCAAGGCCCACCACATCTTCAACTTCAAAATCCAAGGCCAGCGAGTCTTGTCCAACAGCAAAAGCACCCCAATTCGCCTCTTCAGCCCAGCACAAGTCTATCTTCTGGACCATACGCCTCCCACACCCTGGGAAACGGAATTTTGCACCATCAGAATCCATACGGACCACCCACACAAGAGCCAGCGTATTACGCATCGCATCCTCCATATACGGCAGCAAGTGCACAAGCACAGTATCCCTCAAGTGGTGAGTTAGAAGCCCTTATGGACACTCCATATCCTCTACAGGCATAGCCAGTCATATCATCCCTGAAGCTAGAGCAAGATCGAGTCGCCAACCGTTTCAGGAATTCCATTCGGGCCATTTTCTTTCGTCACTAACCCGTTGCTAGGACCTCCTGAAATGATGGCAACAGCAACCCAGATGCAGCGGCCTTACCCTCCAATCTACCAAACACCACAGTCCGGTTCTCCAGCATCAGTAACTTCTCAGTCACATGAGCAGCACAGCCGGAATCTCTACGGTCAATCGCCACAGATGGCATCGCAGATGTATGGCTACCCACCATATTCTCCTATAAACCCTGTGCAGCCTTCACCGTACGCACACACCTCATCACAGCACCCTCTCACGTCGCAGTCGATGATATTGCCTCACCAGACCAGTTCTGCGCCTATACCCCATACCCAAGCACCAGCTGTCACCATGGCGACTAGCCCCAGCACAGTTACGGCTCAGCAACAGCCAACACCTCCACAACGGACGGTTTTGAACCCACCACTTCCTGCAGCGAGTAGTGCCCCAATCCCTCCAAGCGGTGTGCATCATCAAAACTCAGCTATCGGAGCAAGTACTAGCGCTGCACCAGGCCCCATTCCAGCCACCACCCCATTGGTCGTACGACAGGACAGCAACGGAGTCCAGTGGATTGCTTTTGAGTACTCTCGGGACCGTGTGAAGATGGAATACACCATCCGTTGTGATGTTGAATCCGTTAACGTGGATAGCCTAAGCCAGGAGTTCAAGACGGAGAATTGTGTCTATCCTCGAGCCTGCTGCAGTAAGGACCAATACAGAGGTAACAGACTAGTCTACGAAACAGAATGTAATGCTGTTGGATGGGCTTTGGCAGAGCTTAACCCGGCATTGAGGGGAAAGCGGGGTTTGATCCAACGTGCAGTTGACAGCTGGAGAAATAGCAATCAAGATCCCCGACTTCGAAGCAGGCGTGTGAGAAGGATGGCCAAGATGAATAGACGGCAAGGGCTCCCAGCACAGCCGCCTTCTCACATGGCCACTGCAACACCTGTTGCACCCGGTGTTCCCGGTGCTAGCTTGACAGCTCCCGGTCCACGCCCGTCATTGGGTCCTCTAGCCATGGGCCCTCCGCAACTGCATCACCACCATGCTCAACCTGAGGGAAATACGAGTAATGAGGAAGTAAGCGGTATGTTCCACCACGTATGATTTGTTTTCGCCACCATTCTCAAGATTGATCAAATGGCGGTCTTGTCTTAATATCATGTACCATCCATCTATATTTCCATAACACCGTGCGGAAGGATACCATGTTTGAACAGAGGAGGCCTTGTGAAGTGGTGGATATTGTACCCTATGTATTTCTATTGTGTCTGGAGTGGCCTTCGTCTTTTGTTGTTTTACCCATACCCTTTCGTGTTTGTTATTTTACCATCGACTCTGTACCCTCGACGCCCTGAATCACGATCCACAATATGCATTTCAGTGTAGGCTAATATACAACCTGGTCTGTTCATAATACAGGTACCGCTGATTTTGGGAATGGTACCAATCGTCCACCTGCTCCGGACGGTCATCCGACCCCTGGACATTCACCGACGGAGATTCGCACTGCCCAGGTATTTCACGGCTTCCCTGCCTTTCCACCTCCTTCAGGGGGTGCTAGGGGCCCTTCAATACCCCCTCTCATTCGGGATAGTGGGATCGCCGCCCTTGGGCGGCACCCGGCTGTTGCTACATCTTCAAGCAAGATAGAGGAAGTCGAGGATGACGACGACGACGATGATGAGCGTAACCCAAGCAATGATGCGTTGTTCGGCGTATTTCCTGAGGGTAAACGCCGCAAGTTTATACTCGTCGACGATAATCAGCGGGGTTGCCGCGTTCGTGTCAAAGTTATGTTGGATCAGGTGGACATGAACGAGATCCCCGACTCATACCGAATGTCGAACTCCGTCTACCCTCGAACATACTTCCCCGTTCAAATGAGGAACCCTCCCGGCCGAGTCATTCCTGGAAGAAGATACATCAAGGACGAGAATGAGGAGGATGAGGAGGAAACCCCAACTGTCGGGCGCATTCTGGTCCCGGCCCCCAGTGTCGATGGAGATAATGAAATTGCTGTTCCAAAACTGTCTCGAGCACGTCGAAAGAAGGAAGTCTTATTGAACGACCTGGGTTATCGAATGAGTTGGAGCCAAAGTCGTGTCTTCGCTGGGCGCATGCTGTTCCTACAGCGTTCTCGTGCGTAATTCCCCATACTCATTTGCATCCCTTACATGTGGCGTCGACGGATCGGGAAACTGTCCGTCGCCCACACCCGTGTCATCGACGTGGCTCCCTTACCACGAGCTTTAAAGGAGGAATTGGAATGGTAGCAGAGACTAACCAGTTTCCTGGAAATAGTTGACGCGTATCGAAACAAAATGCGCAGTACTATGCTGGCTGCGGGCCAGGAACCGACTGCAATTCCCCGACACTTCGAGACCCGAGCCGGAAAACGAAGATTCCTTGAGCGCAAAAGACGAACAACAGCTCCTCTAGGCCGGGCCAGTGGGGCAAATACATACTCTGCATCCCGACGCAGCGCAGAGGAAGTTGAGGCTTAGGAATCCTAGATCGATATAGACTGTCGTCGATCGTCGTGCCGAAACCGATTCTCTCACATCTTTTCTGCATTCATTACTTACAGTACTTTTATGAAGTCCGTGCTTCAATCCGGCAGTGAACCTGGGGTATGAAACATGGTCGCTATACCCATTATACAGGGATCATGGGTGTCTCCAGAGCCGGAAATACGGCGGTTTATAGCTTGTTTATGGTTGGCTTATGGGGTTGTGGTGTTTGGGAGTGGGAACACCTGTTTTCTTTTCTTTTCCTTTCTTCTTATTCTTCTTTATATTCCTTTCTGTCTTGTACGACACACTGTTATGACCGTAATGACTATGCCGCAGGCAGATATGATTATGACGGGATTTGGGACGGAAAAATGATTTTTTTTTATGTGATATGGATATGTACTCCGTATGTTGTCAATGAATTATTGCATGTACCATGAACGAATGATGGGATGCACGTTTTCGTGATTCTTTTATTTTTCTTTTTTCTTTTCTTTTTCTTTTCCTTTTTTTTTTTTCTTTTTGACTATTCTATGGCGTGCTAA